CAAGCTGAGCAGCAGCCTAACAGCTTTAAGAGCTTTCTCCCTCTATCTGTTCTTTGACATAAGTACAGCTGTAGCAGAACTCTTCTTGTTAAATGCTAAATGCTCTGCTGCTATGATGCCATTTTCCAAAGAAATATTAGGTTTCTTTTCTGATCTGTCTTTCTCAACTTTGCATAGGCACACCCAGCTGCTGAAAGGATGAGCTCCTTCAACTCCCTTTGCTACTCACTGTGGCAGCATCTGGGACATATTTGTTGTAATACGAGATCCCCAGTCTCCTCCCTGTACGTAGTATTCCTTGAAGCCCAGTCTCTTCATCAGCTTGTGAAATATCCGAGCAGTTGCAATGGTGTCAAAGCCTGTACATAAAGAGAAGCACCACACATTTATTCAAGCGTGTCCTGGCCAGAGATCATGCCCCAAATGTGCTGCTGTGAAGGCACAGTGTACTGTACTGCTCCTCATCACTCTCTGACAATAGAGAGAACACTAGTTGTTGTAAATTCAATGCAAAGTAGAGAAAAGAGAGAGTTGGCTTTCAGCTACCATTGCCTTCCAAATCTCCAAACTAGCCCCAGAGCCTCAGTAACATTGGTGTTGGTGCAGAGCCAAGTTTCCTGAACTTCAGACCCAGGATCTGCCTTCCTGCATTCACAGACTGCAGCACACAAAGGATTGGGGGATGGCTGAAGTATTTGCACCAAAAACCTGTGATTCCAGCAGAGCCTTTTCATCACTTACCTTGCTGGTGTGGTGCCTCTGAGAAGCCATAGCCTGGTATGGATGGGCAGATGACCTCAAACACCACATCACCACTGTCCAGGCCATGCTTGGTTGGATCCGTGAGTAGAGGGATGATCTTGTAGAACTCATAGAAAGAGCCAGGCCAGCCATGGGCCATCAGGATAGGCTGCACAGTTTTTCCATGAGGGACGTAGGAGGGCTTCACATGGATAAAATGGATATCAATCCCTGCCAGACATCCAAGACAGAAAAGTTAAGTTCTGGCTCCTTTTCAGTTTCTTCTCTGGACTCTGAAGAAAGAGGTTGGCAAAGTAGCCATTCCCAGAAATTACACAATCATCCCACATCAGGAAGATGACTACCTGAAAGGGATGTCCAGTATTATACTTATGTAACACCTTTTGCCTATAGGTGGAGGTATGAATCCCTACCCCAGACAGGGGGTCACAGCAGACCGAACATCCTTCCTATGAGAAACTAGTTTCACAGTAATAGGTAAAGCCATGCTTAAATACACAGCATAACGCAGGCAAGACAAATGCAAGACCACGACAAAATGGCATGAAAAAAATATTCTGGACTCATAGAATGGATAAGCTTTGCAGCTTCTAAAGGCAGTTTCAAGGCAATAGTAGAAGAAAACCTCACAATTAATTAGCACAGGTTCAGGGCCAGAGGAAGGCTCTTTTGAGGCAGACCTAAATTTATTGCTGATATATGGCACTCATGATCTGTACAAGCTTATTAATAGTACAGCCTGCACGAGAGATTTTTCCCTTACATCACTAAGCTATTACATACACATAAATATTCTAACATCTTAGACAAGCCATCAAGACTGAGCATCCTTTTCTCACATATGCTACTGGCAAGAGCAAAGCAAGGCCAGGAGAGGCAGCTGGGAAAGTGCTCTGTGGTGTAACAGGGAGGCACAGTGACCCACTCACCTTCGATGGTGGTACGGAAATGAGGGTACTTGTTCAGGATTTCCACTTGCTTGCGCCAGTCAAACTTGTTCCTCCAGTAGGCCACCACCTTCTGCAGGTAGTCAGAGTTGAAGCCATAGTTGAAGGCTGCCCCTTCCAGTGGAGGTGCGTAGCGAGCCTGGTCGAGGCGGCGGTGCAGGTCCTGCAGAAGGAGTGAGGCTGCCCAGATGCCCATACGTGCAGTGCACCAAGGCAAGCATATGCAGGAGCCAACTCTCCAGGCTCCACCAGCTTTTAGACCTCTACCTATTAGACAATGATCCTGGTTGAAGCAGAGCTCTCAGTGATCTCCTCAGTCATAGGGAATATAGCTTTCTACAGGTTAACAATTCTCCTAATGCACTCGGGATTACCAGGTCTCACTCTTGCCTTACTGTTAACTTTGTACTAGGAGCTTTCAGGCACTGGTGGATGGATAAAGAATATAGAAGGGCAATTAAAGATTGGGCCCAGCTGCCTGTAGCTAGTTGGCTGGATCACTAGGGGCAGGTGCTGCAATTCATTAGGAAGACTCTCTTCGCTCTTCCAGGTGTTCTCCTGTAGGAGCTTCTGAGCCCTGCCGTTCTACCAACTTCTGTGCCTACACCCTCCCACTCTGCCCCATTGCCTGCAGACCCACTGTCAAACTCTACCTCAATTTCTTCATCAGATGTTTCAATCTTGAAGGGGTGGATGCTTTCATCTTCTTTCCCTTTCAGGGGTTTTTCGCCTGAGCCCCACCATCCATCACCCATTTCAATACTCTTGATCTTGCGTCTGGACATCAGCCAGCAAACCAGCATCCCTCCAACACCCACAGCAGCCACAGGGACCAGGACTGCATTCTTCTGAGAATTTTGAAAAGACCTAGGGATGCATAACGTTTGCATTCAGTGTAAGACAGCAGGACAATGCCGAGGCTTGTTTCCACATTTATTTGGTCAAGAAACAACACATTTTTAAAAGCCCCATAGTCAGCAGGGGCTAAGTACTTCTTTTGTTGTTGATGTTCACAGGCAAGATATGGAACAACCTCTTAAAAAGCAATAGATTCCACAAGTACTGGCTCAGGAATCTAGAGCCAGTGTAGAGATATTAAACTCTAATAACAAGAGTGTGAAGACTAGAAGCCTCAAGGTTACATCTACCAGTGCTCACTAGGGATCTCATTCTTTGCTGATCGCAAGGTTTCCTTGGTCCTCTCCCATGAAGCAGGATACCATGGGGGAATAGGGTCAATAGGATATGTGCAAGTGAATGGGACAATAGTACATAGGTTCCTCCAGGAATGCAAACTGCAAAGGGTGAGGGGTGAGAGCAGAGAAAAGGGTCTTCAGCTGCTATTGGGAGCTGAATGTGCCCCCCTCAGCAATGCTTTATATGTAGCTTCCCTACAGATTCAGGCATCTTTTAGGTCAAAGCTGGCCCTCTAATATAGTCTTACACAGGTAAAGATCTCAGACTGTCTTTTTGGTACCTCTATTTCTGTTCCAGTCATGAAATACACAAAAGCTGAGTCACCACTGTTGGCTTTAACAGACATGTAGTATGTTCCAAAGCCGTTCAGTTGTGACAGCAACCATTCCAAAATGTTATGTACCTTCATGTCCCTCAAACCTGAGTGTCGAGGTCTCCAGCTTCTCCTGGAGATCTGGAGAAGTACCTTTTGTAGGGGGCTGCAAGAAGTCTTTGAACAATGAAGATTCTGTCGCTGTAGTCAAATGGGGTAGGGAAAGGACTGTGCTGTGTCTCAGCTAAGGCGTTGATGAAAAGTGGAGGTGTCAGCAAAGAGCAGCAATTTCACTCACCTGACGCGGGACAAGATGCTCTCCCTGCAGAAGAGAAGGAAAGAGGAAAAAAAAGATCCTTACAGTCTGATAGTGTTGTCTGAATGGTAGCAATCCTTAACGACATTGCAAAGGATTGCCAGCACCATTTACTGCCCAGCCATGCCATTGCAAGCTGTTTAATCGGGTGAGCACATTCACAGTTTTTCTAGTTCTTTTGGATGCAATTGAGAGGGAGGACCTCAGATTATCACTTTTACACAATGAGGCTGTTTCTTGGCTGCTTTTTAGCTAGATAGCTTGTTTCCATAATATTACTTCCTTTAGCACAAATTAGATAAAAGGCCATAAACAAAGGGATAGGTGTCCTTGCAGTCTTTCGTCTTACTCATGGCTGTGATACTCCAGCCAAGAAAGTAGGTTATTTTGACCGCTGAAGAAAGATAGGAGTGCAGCCCTGCAGTGAACTGTCAAGATCAAAGGTCATCCTGCTGCTAGCTATGCTGCGCTCATTATGCCAAAGGACTGGCACCAGGAGGAGCTTGTGGGACCTTTATCTGCTCAGATTTCAGTGAGTTGCTACACTTTTGCTACTTCTGACTAGTCCGAGCTGGATAGTGAGCTTTCACATCTAATCTGCCTGGGAGGAAAATAAACAACTCCCTTGGTTCTCTTTTATCCTGACAGATTGCCCCATAAGAAAAGCAGAGTCAAAACCAGAAAAACCAGAAGTGACAAGAGAAGGTCTCGCTACTTAGAGAAGGTCTCGTTACTGTCTCTGCCTTAAGGTAGGCAGCTAAAAAAGGGAGCTATTTAGTGTCATAATTAAGATATCTTGAAACAAAATAAAGGCATGAAGTGCCATGAAAACACGTGCCTGCAGGCTGTTTCTTTTTACCTTGGCTCCAAGCCAAGGCAAAGACACTGCTGCAAGCAGTGTCACCCTCCAACTGTAGGAGGCTGAACAGCTTATGGAACAGGTAGTAATATTCCTGTGCACTTATATCCCAGACCTTAGTGAGTGAGAGGCATGAAACAATATGGCAACAGCACCAGCTCAACACTGATAAAAAACAAACACGCTAGACACAGCCCTCTAAGCAACAGAAAACAAGGCTTGGTCTAGTGAAATCTCTCCAGTCACATTCCAGAGAAATCAGCTGCATGCTCCCAACACCCTCCAATAGCCCGCCTCTGCCTGGCTTATCCCGTGGTGGTTTCTCCCACCCCAGCCCCGGCTGAGTCCCACATAGCTCCCTCCTCATGCTAAAAGGCATCTCACCAGGCGTTAGGAAGGACCTCCTGCCACATGCTTGTCTGCTCCTACTCGCCTTGCTGCAGTTTTCAGTAAAGCAACACGAACGTCTCCTCTGCTGGCTTCCTCCTTGGCACTGACGCGCTCTCGTACATTGGTGCCACCTATTGACTAAATACGCACATGCAAATTAAGTTCAACAAAGTTAAACAGAGGCCGATACAAAGTCCTGCATAGGGGTGGAATAGCCGCGTGCACTAGCATGGGCTGAGTGCCAGGTACATACAGAAAACTGCTCTTTAGAGCCTTGTCTGAGGTCCTCAGATGAATCAGAATCGACAGGGGGACCTCATGGCAAAGGTCGTGTATGGGGCTATACAGCAAGCACACTAGCCAGCAGGCTGAGGTAAGGGTTGCTTCACTCTGCTACTTGAGAGATTCATCTCTGGGAGTGCTGTGCCAAGTTCTGGTCTTGCTGGTAAAGGAAAGACCAGGGTGAGTCCACTATGGACACAAGGCTGGCCAGGAGCTGGAGCACGTGCTGCATGAGGAGAAACAGAGACCTACATTTGTTCAACATGGAGAAGAGAAGGCATAGTGTGTGTGCATATTTTGCAGCAGACAAAACAAAGCAAAACTATATAAAAAAGGAAAAGTAAAATTTTCTCATGTACCACAGAAATCAGTGGTTTTTTGCTTCTTTTTTTTAAGCTCAAGAAACTAGATTTTATCTCCCTAGTAGTCAGTTAAATCCTGCTGGATAGAGGCTTCTGCTTCCTGAACTGTTGCACACTGCTCTTGCTGTGTTTCAGTCCGGGAATAGCTATATTGCCAGAGGGAAAGATTCTTCTCTCCATGCAGTGCTCAAAGTGAAGTGCCATCACCAGTGAGATCTGTGATGATCAGCTCTCATGTTACAGGGGTGTAATATGCAGTCCCTGGGCTGCCAGAACTGCGGAAAATAGGAGGAAAACTGTAAATCCTTCATTTGGTCAAAGTTCAATTTATTGCTACACCAGAGCTATTCGTGGTTATGCCTTTCTGGGATCACTTAGCTTTAAGGTCTGATTTCCAGAACTAAAGGTCGAGAGCCCGTCTAAAATGCAGGGTATATGTACAGGAATGTTGTGAGTGCTTGCACCAAAGAGATTCAGGGTGTCCAGAGGCAATCCTCCCTGCAGCAGTTCGACCGCTTTAAAACAAAGATTTTTCTCCTTCTCTCTTACAACCTCTAGTGGCGAAAACACGCAACTTCAGGCAGAAACTGCTTGGTGGTGCCAAGGCAGCCTCCCTGGAGCCTGTGACGCGTGTCCCATAGACCCAGCGATCAGAGGAAAGGACCTAGAGAAGTGTCTCCGAGCATCTTCCTGCACTGGGGCAGGACCCCTTATCCTCCATGACGTTTTATCAACCCTTTGCTCATCACTAATCAGGGGTATGCCTGCAGCAATGGTAGAAAATATGCACGCAGAAATGTAAATGTCTTATATTCTTTTCCCCGCTTGTTTTAGAAGCTGGATATAAGCCAAACACACGATAACCTGCCACCTCTTCTCGGGGGTTTCAAAAAGCCCAAGTAGCACAGCGGCACTCACAGCACTTCTGCAAATACTGGGTGCCCTCTGGTGGGCACAAGAGCTCATAGTTCACATAATGGTGTGTGGTAACGGGATGTTTATGAATGGTCTCCCGCCTCCTGTCCAGTGCCAGGGACCAGCTCTGGTCTTTTTACTTAGCAAACTGCTGGCTGATGATGCTGTTGAGGGCAGAGCAATGCCTGGGAGTATTGGAGCTGACCTGTACCCACCAAGCTCTCATGAACCCTGCTCTGCCCATGGCATCACTTTGTGATATCCACCTTCTCAGCGGCACTCAAACTTTTTTTAAGATTCCTTCTCACCTAAGCCAGTCCTTTTTTTTTTCTTTCTATTAAGAAAGCACCTGGTGGCTAATGAGGCCTTCCTCAGCTTGACTGCATGTTTGTTCCCTCAGACCAAAGACAGCACAAGATAAGAAATGTATTATTTCCCCACATTAATTCTGAAGAGGAACGGTCTGTGCAACCCAGCAGGTCCAAGCTGGGACTGCTCATGTACATATCTCTCTTTTCTCACATGTTGCATGAACAGTACTGCCTGGTAACGGGATTGCACAGGAAGAACTGGAGAGCTGAACACACACCGTGTGGCTGTGTCCTGAGAACCAACAAAGAGCCCCAAGCATGCTACATAGATGGGCAAAATTTTCACCTTCCTGCTGAGGCCTTGGGAGATTCAGCTGGTCAGTGGGAGGTTTGCTCCTGTCCTGAATGGCTGCCCCTGTGATTACATCCCATGAAGAAGCACTGGGCTCCTAAGCACTTCCAAGCTGTTAATTCCTGAATTTTATTATCAAGAGCCAGATGAAACATCTGAAAGCTGATTGCACCAACACTTCACTCCTGCCTCCACCAGCAGCCAGCCCATGGGGCTGCTCCGCAGTATTTTATGTAAAACTCAGATTGCCAAAGTGATGAACAACTTGGGAGGGCCGTGGAAAAACTCATCTACTCCCCTTCTCTCTGTGAAGACAAATGCTTCTTTCTTGCCTAGGAAGCCCATCACCATTTTTTTCTGCAAGTGCCTTCATCCCCGCTCCCCTCCCCCAATCTTTTTAGTCCTCTGCCCTGCACTATGTACTGAATAAAAGTTAGTGTTTTCCCATTTGGAAATGGCCCCTTCTCTGCCGCCCTTATACTCGGGGAAATCTCACAAATGTTTCAGCACTACTTCCAGCAAGGACTGGCCCCTTCTGTTGCTAATTAGGGAGCTAAGAGGTTCCCCCAGGCACTTCCCAGTGAAACCGAGCCCATTAAATGAATGGCAGGCAACATCTCAGGGGGTGGGGAGCAAAGTTACACAACAGCTGTTTGGAAACAGGCAGTTGGTTACGTGAGCTGGTTTTAGACTCAGCAACATTTAAAACAAAAGCAACTTTCAAGTCCAAAACAGTGTACTGAGGTCACTGATACCCTGGGGATAATCCTGGGGATATCGGTGATTGGAAGCAGGCAGCAGGCAGTGGGATTCGGTGCTGAGCCCAGACGCACAAAACGTGATGGTCCCCATGTGTGCACCCTGCCACACACAGGGAGCTGGGTGCATAGGTTCTTTCTGAGCTCTGGGATACGGGCCCTGCCATGCTGAGGAGCAGGACTGACAAATCTGAAATTGTGAGGCAGAGCTCCATTGCTTTTGGACACATTGATGCCATGGTGGTAAGCGTGACTGAGGCTTGCAGTCTTGGCCAACCCAGATGCCCGACAGCCTGTACAATAACGTGCTGAATGTGCTGTTCTGAAGCCTTGTCTCCTTAGAGGCTGGATTCTCTGGATGCTAGATACCAAAGGCTATGTCAAGTAACGAAGAGGAATTTCTTACACAACATGCAACTCCACATAAACTCTATCTGTTATGTCATTTTTGTTCTCTTACAGTATTAGAAGTGCACTGTGCACCTCCTGCAACCTCCTTTGCTGCAAGTGACCTATAATTACTCACAAAGCACACAACAATAATTAAAGAAAAAAAGGATGCAACTACCAAAGGCACGTGGGAGAAGTACCAGGCTGAAGAGCTGTAGGGCAATAAAGATACAAATATCTTATGGAAAATAACACTGTGGGTGATTTTTCATTAGTGTCATGACAGAAGTATTGGAGGCAGAAACAAAGGCCTTACCTTCAAGAAAGGGTTGAAGATAATTCAGTGTATGTAGGTGATCTATTCTTGATACTTCATCTAGTTTAACAAAAAAGTCTAATAAAGCAAACTTGCGTTTAGATGAGGCAAAATGAAATGGCAGAGAATGACCTTCATCCTTCTCAATAACAGTGACTATTGCTGAGGATTCTGCGATGCTGATGATGATCATGTTAGGAAACACTACTTTTCTAAAAGAGTGGTCAGGCACTGGAATGGGCTGCACAGGGAGGTGGAGGAGTCTCCGATCTTGGAGGTGTTCAAGGAACGTTTGGACACTGTGTTGAGGGACATGGTTTAGTGAGAACTATTGGTGATGGGTGGATGGTTGGACTGGGTGATCTTGTAGGTCTTTTCCTACCTTGGTGATTCTGTGATTCTGTGATCACAGGCAGATCTCATGTTTCTTTTCTCATGCCTTATTCTGGCAAACTCCTGAACTTGCTTTTAGTGAGCAGCAGTGATCAGTGGCTGTGAGGTGTAGGTGCACTGTAGGAGAGGGGCAGGCATTCTCCATCACCCTGCTCTATTAGAGCACTGCATAGCCAGTATCCTGGAGCTAGGCAAACCTCCTCCAAAGAAGGACTTCTGGAACATGTGAACACACTCTGCAGATCTGAAAAAGTGTGCAAGCGTTTTTTGGGAAGTCAGTCTCATGGTGTATTCAGTTCACTGGAAATTTCATAAGTTTTCTGCTCTGATCCTACACATTATTTCCTCTGTCTCAGGGAACTGTGTGAGCTACTTGGAAATACCTCCTTTCTGAACAGTCATTTATTGTCTCTCTGTTTGGTTTTTCCTACTGTACATTATTAGTTGTTATGCCTACATTGTATAACAACAACAGTGACATGAAGAAACTCCTCAGGTCCAGAGACATTCTGGAAATCAAGACTGAGTCAGTCAAACTTCTAGCATAAGGATATGATTTTTATTGTTCATCAAAAACAGACAGTCTGGGAAACCACGGCAGTCTGGGTATAATGCAACAACAGCACTGCAGAAATCTCTACTAGAGAAAATAGCACTCTGGACTTTGAGCCTTACAGGAGAACCTACAAATATAGCTGGGAAAATAATGAGGTATTGTATTTTAAGATATCAGGCTGAATATTGTAAACAAGACTCTACAAGTCTGTAAGGATTTTTTTTTCCTTCCCTTCAGCTTTTAGAGCTCTTGGCAAGACCTGTCTAAGCACAGTCCCAGCGCATGTAACTGACTGGCCCTTCCCAAAGGTACAAGGATAAAGCCCTTTGCAAATGGCCATTAAGAAAACTTGGCAACAACAGTTTGCAGGATGAATAATTGCCAAAGATTAATAAGCAGTTGCACAAGCAGTGGAACTAATGAAGCCTCATTTCCTACATGTATTTGCAAAATACAGCTACTATTTGCAAATACAAATACAAAATCTTTTGAACTGAATTATTGTAAGATTTTGTTTTCTCTGTGCACATTCATAAAATTCCCTCTCTGCTTTCTGAGACAACAAGTTCTCACGAAATGTGTAGAAATACATTTCATTATTACTTTGAAATCTCTGCTTGTGGAAGTCGACTGAAATCAGCAAATATATTAAAAAACTACGGGGGGACATATGGAGTGTTTGAGATATATGAGCATTTGTTCTGCAGAAAGCAGGGAACTAAAGTGCAGTCATGAAAGACACCATAGGAAAAAACATCCATTTCTTAGCAGTGCTGAATGTACAGGGGTTGCAGGGCATTTCCCTTGATCAGCACTTTGATGTAAAGCAGCCAAAAATGATCCACTCCAGCTCCTTTTATCACACAGGCAAAATCTTCAACATTGCTAGTGCAACCACAGCTTTCTTCTGCACTGTGTCCAGGGGATGAAGTATTCAGTGAGGTGGCCAAGTCTATATAAAAATATATAGAATGATTGGGAAAAAAAATCAGAAGGTCAAACTAAAAGCCGCTCTTTCTAAAATCAGTGCATGATTTGGCGTTTGCATTCAATGGGAGTAAGAAAATCATGGGAAACTGAGAAAACTATTCTGAAAAATTCTGCAATAGAGCTGATCTCAGGGAAAGGGTCTGAGCACTTCCATGGACAATGCAGTGTTGAGAGAGGACACTCAGTGCAGAGCAAAGCAAGTATTAAATAGGAATTTATACATTTCTTTAATAATTCCTAAATAAGTCATCTGAGTATCATCCTGTGAAATCAGGGTTGAGTACAATTACTTCATTAATAGAAGGGCAGAGAAGAATAGAAAAAGCAGAAAATAAAATGGCATGACAGACATGGGTCAGTGGAAGCTGTGATGGGAGAGGGGAATGAGTGAGCAGCGAGGCTTAGCTTTGTGAAGACCTGAGTTAGATTAAAGACAAACACTCCTAACACAGCTCCCACGCAGTCGCAGACCTCTGTTCTGTATTTAACAGGGCTTTTTTTAAGGCCGCATCTTCTCTCTGAACTTGCCACCTGAGGGCAACATCACACAATCACCCACACACAGCTGCTGTGCCTGCAGTACTGCTCTTGGTTCCAGGAACCCCACTACCAGAAAAACCATGGCAAACTAGAAGCAACTCAAAGAACAGCAACAGAGAGGCTGGAGCTACTCTGCAGAAGAAAAACATTGCAAAAGCAAAATCCAGTTTGCCTAAGGAGCAGCATACTGACCTCCATATATTTAAAGGGGAAGAGAAATCATTCAGCATAATAAAGGAAGATAGAACTAGGAGTAATTCATGGAAATGAGGCAAGGAGAATGTGCTCAGTCTTCTTGTTGTATTTTTCCTACCTGTGAGATACTTCTCTGGTTCTGTAACGAAAGATCACAGCTCTATCGAAGTAAGTGTAGTACAGCCAAGGAAAAGAGACCCTTTGCCAAATTCATGTGACAACCAGGATATGTCCAGAGGGTAAAGCGCATTGCTGTTGTGGGCACAGAAGAATACCATTAAATAAGCAATTATTTGAGAAAGATACGTCATTTTTCCAAGTAAAATTCCTGAAGTCCTGGGAAAACCAAGCTGTTCTCCCCCATCTGCAACTTCTAAAATACATGTGGTCCCAGGAAGGCTCTTTTCTTTGTTGGACCGTAACACTTTTTTTTTTCTTTTTGGATACTGTAAAGCAATACTGGTTTAACGCCAGAGCTATTTCTCCTCTTTCTCACTCTTTTCCAAGGAATAAAGTGTTTGAGTTTTCGTCAGGCACAGGCATGGCTGCCTACGGGACAAACTATTTACTATGATTCTGGGCAACATAATTTCTATACAGATGCTAAGTTGCTGCCTAGAACAAGACGTAGAAGAACACTGAATTTATGGTATTCATATGAAGTACCACGAATGTGTACAGACAGGTGTGAGGAGGAGACACAGAGGAGTGCCTGCTCTGCAGTTCAGGTTCAGCTTCCTCACTGCACAGATTTATCTACCAAAGCACAACTTCAGCAGGGCCTGATGACTGTAGGTGACGATATTCACTGTGCCAAACAGGTAGGCCAAATGCTGGAAGAACCCAGGGAGACCAAGAACTGATTACTGGGCAGTGTGGACAACTGAGAGCCTCTCTAAAGGCCCCTAGGATGGCCATAAATAAAGCATCCAGCCTGGTCCCCAGGCAGCCCTCCCAAGCTGCCTCACGAGGCAAGAGAGAGATGCAAGAAGTCTTTCAAAAAGGGACCGAGGCAAGGAGAGGGTAAGCTGGCCACGTTGAGCAAGCTAGCAGAAGTGCTGCTCTGTAAGCTCAGTGGCTGCCCCAGCCTCTTCAGGACAAAGAGCAGATTTAGCAACCCAGGAACGCACATAGTTGGCAGGATCTCACTCTGCCAGTCCTGAAGGCAGAGCTAAGCTGCAGGGCTGCAGTGCTATGGGTCTGGGCACTTGTAAGCTGTTCCCTTGTCTGCTCGGGAAGGGAAAAGATTACAAGTGCTCCCTGGGGGGCTCTGAACACCCCTGCCAGCACAGCACATGAAAACTGGTTTCTGCACAGAGACTGGAGTTTCTAATCAGCTCCTGACCACCACCCCTCAGCCCTCTTGATCCACTCCCCTCCACCTGCCTTGATGGTGAGGTTTGAGTGACATTGGTATAACTTAGAGCTAATTTTTTCCCTACTTCTCCCTCAGCCATCCCCCTGGCACCCAAATTCCAGCCTCTCCCTATCAGGCTTTGCTTTTCTTCCCTTTCTGTCTCTCCATCCTCCTCCTTTGGCAATTGACCTAATGGGGCCACGCCAGCTCTTGCAACGTGCCAGCATGAAAATGAGCTTCTAGCACAGAGTTCCTTGTGACTATGGAAAACTGCCCAGCATTTTAATATGTGCCAGGCCCCCAGGCGGAAGTGGAGCAGGCTCAGCTAATCCCGAAGGGAAATGATTAGCTGCTGCAGACTTACGTCTCAGTGGCATGGGATTGGGGATTTGTTTTCTTAAAAAGTGCAGAGCTGAAAGCTTCAGGGTGATCTGGGGCCACCAGAAAGCACTGGTGAGAAGAAAAGCAAATTCAGACCTGTACAATGTTCAGAATGCCCACTCTGTACCAGAATTTTGCAAAAGGAACTGCAGGATGTTCTTTATTTAGAATGCAGTTGGGGAAGGGAACGCTGCACGGGCAGACTTATCTAGATCGAAGTAGTTGGGATGTCTACAGCAGTAAAGCCACAGCAGCATGGTCAAGCAAGCTTGCTCAAGCCCTGACTTGTCTGGCCTTCCTGGAAGTCTGTCCTGCTGTTACTTCATCGCTGCTGGAGTTTACTTACAGTTGCTATGCTGCAATTAAACATTCTGATTCTGTGGTAAGCATGCCCTAAGTGTGATGGAGCCTGAAAATTTGGGAAGCAAACCGAGCTCATGTAACTAAACTGACTCCAAATAGAAAGGAATAGAAAATGGCAACCCTTCCTTCTCTTCCCATATCCCTCATTTAAGACAGAAAATTTTACCAACAGGCTGGTTATAGGTCTGAATTGTACCAGTGATGATAGATCTTTAAAAAAAAAAATAATAAACAGTCACATCTACTGTCTCCTTTCAAAAAGAGGAGACATTTGTTTGCAAATACGGCCAGTCAGATCCCCTTCCTACAGTCTGCAGCAATATATATTTTCTCTGAGATTAAGGAGTAACACTCAGCAACACAGCATACCTTAGACCCTGGAGACAGTCTAACACATCATGTCCTCCAAAGCATTATCCCTAAAGCCTGCTGTTTTCAGGCTCCTGTTGAAGATTAATAATCAAAGAACAGACAGCTTTTGTTTTCACTCTAATACTGAATGTAGTCTGAATCTCTGAGCAAGGGCAAACTAAGTGAATGTTCTGAGAACCACTGGCTCTCGGGAAAGAGGACAATTTCCTTTTTCCATCTTCTGGATTGTCTGTGTTGGTAGCTCTGTGCCTCAAAGACCTTCATGCTTCCATGGCACAATGGCTAGAACCCAGAGCACGTAAGCTTGTTAGAGAGGCCACATAATTAAAACATACAAAAATTATTTGAAAAAAAGGCAGAGAGATTTTCCTATAGAGGGCACCAACTCATTGCTCTTCTGGCATTCTAAAGCCTTATCTGTCCTTTCCAGCACCCTCTGTAGGTCCTCATAGTGAGTAACTTAAAACTGAACATGAGAAGGGGAAAGGACACCAGTATTGATGTGCTCATTGCTCTGTGTTGGTTTCTAGCATCTCTAGCTCTCACATTTCACTGTTGAAAAGCAATGCACAAAGGGTATATGGCAACACATTCAATTACCTGACATAGGCAGTGACATGAAGATGCAAACTGTTCTGTTGCAGAACAAATGGCAGAAGTCTCCTTAGCTGGAGGAGAAGTCATCAAGGGAAGGTAGTCTTATTTTTCCTGGCTGTTCCTTCCTGGCTTTGTAGGTCCTTGCCCATAGGCTGTTTTCCTGAGAGAAGCAGTCAGGGACATTAATTTGATGTCATTATATCCTGTTTTTACTGGCTTCTGGAAAATATAGCCCTTGAAAGTATGAAAGAAAAAAGAAATGAGCCCTCATTGACCTGTGAAAAAGCAACAGCATCCACCACTATCTGTGTTCCTCAGCCATGACAGAACCCTCCCTGCTACACAGACCCTCCTAGTGCAATATCCTACCCCTTGCACTGAGAAAAGGACAGAAAAAGCTGACCTAAGATCTCCTGGTGCTTCATCGCCTGCTCATAGTCAATGCTGGTAATGGAAATTCTGTCTTCATGCTGGGTCCTCTAGGGTTTGTCAGTAGCACATCAGTTCAGCTTTCCAGGTACTCTCCTGCTCTCTTACTTCACTTGCAGGGTGATGTTAGCACATTCTTTCCCCTTCTGAATACCACGTCCACCAACGCAGAGACACACTGGCCAGCCTGCAATGAGGTTGGTCTGCAAAATCTGGAAGCCAGAAGCCCGCTCTGCTTAAGGCCTCACAGTTTATTCATTCTCTTTTGCTCTGAGTTTTGGGACTCTAGATCCAGCCAGCTTTGTCTTACAGCTGGACATGGAAAAGGGTCATTTCACAATCCTCTGGAGCTGTTCCAGGCTTGCTGGCCTCCGGTACATGTCCCAGTGTGTATTTCTGACATCCCCTTTCCATCTGAACTGTTCTCCCATGTGTGATATTGCCAGCGTTACTGCTCCAGACTGCAGCATACTATCGTGCAGAAGCTGTTGCTCCAGCTGAGTTCAGTCTGGTGTACACTTTTCATGTTGGTGATTTTCTAGATGACAAGCACCTACATGAATTCCAGCCGTCATGTTTCAAAAGGCCTAGGGATGGAAAGCAGTTATTATCATCCTCTTGTGCTTCCTGAACACTGTCAACCACCATGGCAGAAGGAAGCTAACATCTAGAATTTTACATAGTGTTTGAAAAGAAAAGCACCTTCCCCACTAAAGTCTAGCTAAACTTTTTATCACAAAAAGCCTTCATGTCCTAGGCTGTTCCCTGGCTGCTGCTTTGTGAATTCCTTTGGCAGAGGGCTAAATGGGGAAAGATGCCACAGATGGCTTTTCTCTGCAGGAGACCATCTTTGGCTCCCTTTCCAGAGTCTCAGTGAACTTCTAGAAGCAGCATTGGAAGCTGAGAAAGCACATGGTCTTTGTGGAAGACATCGTGACACAAATGGGGACCAAACTGAAGTACAGTTCAGCCTCTTCCCAAAAGGGTCTGGTGGGGCCTGTGAGTCCTGCAGTCTGGCAGGACAGGAGGAATACTGTACCATGAGACATGAATCGTATCTGTTGCCCATACGGTTTGTTAAAACAACTCAGATGTGAATGGCTCTTCTGTCCAGCCCTGCCTGTATTGGGAAGCCACACTTCGGGAGAGTGGCTGTGGATGTGCCAGAGCATGCACATCACTATGTACAAAAGCTGTACACCAAAACATAAACGAACAAGAGATTAAAGGGGAACAGATGCTGGCTGATCTTGTCCACTGTGTTTCTGAGAGACAGCCCAGTGGAGCTGCTGTCTGCCCAGGGCTGTCTGCCATGACAGCTTGCTTCATGGGGTGGCCTTTCTGTAAAAATTCTTTTAGATGAACCCGTTACCAAAAAAGATGAGCATTTAACTGCAGGTTCTGCTAAAACTGCATACTGGACTCCAGTATGAGCATACTGAGGTGAATCATTCAGTCCACTATGGGGAAGAAGATCTGAACAACTAGACTGTTACTCCCAAGCCAAGTTAGGCCACCCATGATGCAAAACTTACCATCAGAAGACAGAATGGTCCGCTGCCCAAATTAATTCTTATCACTTAGAATATAAGTCACAGTATTCCTGTTTTTGTATCTTTTTGCTGTCTTCCTTTTATTGTTTGTAGCCTTTCTTTCAATATTGTGCATAACCTTGCCTCCTTTATTCTACACACTGCTGTACTAAGCTATTAATTATGCAAGGGATGGACTCCCTTTTCTCATATCTGCCTTGCTCAATCTCTGTTTCCTAAATCCTCAGGAATATGTTGCCACCCACCTTGCTATCTCTGAAGGATTTTCCAGTGTGCTTCATCCAGCTTCTGGAGAACTTGTGCTCCTGTGTCACTTCAGATAAAAAGGTCCAGTCTTCAGTCATTTGCATTTCTTTTCCCTGGAAGGTCCTGATGCAGAGAGATTTAAAAGCTGATCAAGCAGAAACAGACCAAAATCAGCTTGTTCTTTTTTGAATATTCTTGGTCAGTAAGACTCTCTAAGACTTTTCAACTGTTTACTTATCCTTCCCTTCTGCAGTTTCCCACCACTGGAAGCTACTGTCCATCTAATGCAGAGCAGCCTGCAAGCTGAGACCAAATCCAAAACACTTCTTATAATGTTCCTACCACTAAAGCATCCTCAAATACAGAAATCGCAGAGAATTAAGCCCTTAATGGCAGAAACTAGCTTCTCAATTTTTATTTGCATATAAAGATTCACTCATACACATTTTATTACTGTGAAACTGCAGCTGTAAATCTAGAGCGGAGCTCATCGCCTTTCAGCTGTGATGGCACTTTTCCCACAAGTGTATCATAGGTCCTGCCTTCCCCATCTCCTGTATACCCAGAACTGACGATGGGATCATCTTTGCTGGTGCACATCTGGGCTGTATTTCTTCCTTTCTTGGTGCTGCACTCACAGGACTCTGCTGAAAGCCAAGCAACAGGGCCGTGGCTCCTCTGTAGATAGAGCCACCTTAACAATTTGCCATGCTCCCCTGATCATAGCTGTTCTTCCCAGCACCCAGTGCCACAAATAGCACTTTTTTGTGAGTTTTCCCTGATACAGCATCATAGGCTACCAGATACTTGCAAAAAAAAGAACATCTTTCTCAGCAGGTGTCCTGAGCCCCCCAGGAAGTGTTTGCTGTTCTTTGTTTGCAGATCCCCTCTCATTTATCAGGCCATCCAGGTCACTCATCACTTCCTGATGTTAATGCTGCAAGATAGGGCTACTGAGTGCAAGAGTGGCAAAGCTGTCATGCTCCAGCTGGGCAAAAGTGGAGCCTCACTCAGCAAATATTGACACGTCTGCAAGCAAACAGAAGGCAACTTTCAGCAAGCAGCTCTCTGGCTCCCTGAGCAGAGGCTGGACCAGAGATGCTTGGTGCTTTGTGGTAATGAACTGATGTTTACCGAGTACAGGATGCAGGCATGGATCTCCAGCAGCTGTGATGACAGTGGCAAAATTATGGGTTCACAGGATTCATCAGCAGCGTGCCTACTGCCTACCTGCACTACAAGTGGCTGCAGCCACTTCAGCTTCTGGAAAATCAAGCTGTCTCTGCCACTTCTCAGCAACTTCCAGTCAAGATTTCTTCAAGAAAATATTCAAGACAGTCTCTACTTAAAATGCTTAGCACAAATAGAATTTTGTTCCAAGTCTTGAGTTCCCCTGACTTCCAGTTCTAAAACAATGCCTATGATATTTAGGTGGTTATCGTCCCTCCTGTGGGTTGTTGGATTTGGGGAAGTCACAAGTATGAGTGTATATAAACACAGAAGTTATCAGAGTGAATCCTTCTCATAGATCCATGAATTCAAGAAGCCAGTCTTTCACAGAATCAACTCTTACTGAAATCCCCAAATGTAGTTCTTATACCTTATAAAAACTACATATTAGTATACACTGTAAAATGGGAGTTTGATGTCTCCTTTCAGACTGCTGCCAGCAAGCTAAAGGACCAAACTCCCTGCACAGGTGGAACAGAGTCCTTTTTGCCAAGAAGAGATGGGATTGCCAGGAAGGGGTCTTGATGGATTGGGTTCATTTCCTGGCCCACCCATGACTTTGAGCAGGTTATTTGATCTCTTAATGCTTTAGTTCCTATCCACGAAAAGGAAGTGATAATGCTTTCTCTCTGCAGCTCTTTCTTTTACCTACTTAGGCTAAAAGCAACTTGGCTTTTTTCTTTTTCCCCCAGTGTTTCTACTATACGGGTTCTTCTGAAAGTAATGTCTCCTCTTTATTTTCATGGAAATTAGAACAGATAAAAAGAACTCAATAACACTATTTGACAGAGCAAATTCTCAGCTACAAAACACTCTTTTTCATAGTGGGTATTATGAGCTATACATTTTCACCAGTGATGAACAAGAGCCTGCATGCCTTGCTCGTCAAAATCTGCACCAGTGGAGGTGACCCACTGTCACAGTCACCACTGCTGAAATGCAACACCCACAGCCTCACTGTACCCACATCCATTTTGTTTGGTCTCCAGAAATGTTTAGCAAGCATCAGTGAGTGTCAGTGGGTGCCATTTTTTGCACATGGAAGAATTCAGTGATACAAATTTGCTTCATACACACTTCCACGTCAGACATCTACTGTCAAACTGCCCCTCTGCTGCCATCTATTACACGGCAACAAAATGTAAGGGAATACTGATGAGAAGGTTCAGCTTCTATGGCCATTCTACCAACATCTGTCCCTGACATCTCTGGCCAACATAATCACACAGGAGGCATTACTTTCAGGGCAGCCCTCATACAATTATATTCTGATCTGCAGAAGGAGTTCCCGTGTTCTTCAGTAAATACAAATAATCATCCGTTCTCGTTTAGAGCTTGAAGGCACCACCATATAAGGCAATAAATAACGAAAGGATGACTCAGATCCATAACCGACACTGTGTGGATCTCAGATTGGGAACTAAGGAGAAAAACAGTAACTTCAGGAGTCACCATGAGTGAGTTCCTTTCACCTCTTTCCCAAATGTCCAAATTCTTTCTTTACGCTTGTTTTACACTTTCTGATTTGTTTCTAGTGCCTCTGCCTCTCATTTGCAGAGTAAAGACAACAGTTAATCCCCAGTTCCTTCCCCCTGCATGAAATAAACACATTAACTAATGTGCGTGTTTTGGAGAGAGGCCTGATCCCTGCCCACAGAGCACGTTGCCTCTCTTCTTCCTTGTCATTTGTCATTTCCAAACCAAAGCTGTCAGTTTCCTAGAGTGGGGACTTTGTGTCACACAGCACAAAGTGCCTACAGCACTGTAGTACGTAAGCAAAGCCATTGGTGTAGACTGTACAGGGTTTCTTATTTATTAATTTCCCAGAGTAAATCAGAAACCAAATATATTCTATTAATCAGCTTCTTTGCTGAGCCAGATATTGGGTGATGACAAGTATGAAAAGTGTAGAAAAGGAGGATGGAAAATGCAGTCTAGGGATAGTGGAGCAGAGCATGAAGATTTGATTGGTGCTGGACCAAATGTCTCACTGCCGCAACAGTGACAGCCCAAGTGTTGAGCAGAACAGGAAGGCACAGAAGTGCTGCCTTGACAGCACTGGCGTTCTGATCCAAACCTCAAATTCTATGAAAAAAACCCTCTTTAATAGCAAATAATTTCATCCGTTCCTCTCCTCTGGCCTACCCCATTCTATGGTGCCTCTGCATAGGCCTGTGAGTAAACCCAGAGTTCCCG